TGTTTCTTAAAATGATAACTTATTCTTATATAAACAAGGGGCCCAAAGCTCCTAACAAGTAGGGGTATTGTATTGGCTTGAGGCAGTCAGGTCATTTGACATCAACACCACCCAACCGGCCTGTCTAGCATGGACAACCACATCACGAGTCCATTAAATCATCTTTCTTCCACATCCAGATCCACACTTTGATCTTCGGCAGGTCGTCTTGCTCATGTCTAGAGTTGCACTCATTTGAAACGGGTTAACAGCTGAACAGTTGTACCTAAGAAATCGGCCAGTCAGTATGTGGATTTTGGCTAAAAAAAAATTTTTAAGTGTCACAAAAGGGTAAGAAGACAGATTATTGTTCAGATCAACAGAAAAATAACCACCAATGTGTCCTGTCAGGTTGTGTACATACATTTCCACGTGGGACCATTTGTTGGATATTTTCAGGCATTTCGGAGGCCAAACGATTAATCTGTCAATCATATTCCCTTCTGATATGATAACACACAGATCTTGAAAGTCAAGAAAGATACCAAGCACAGATTCAAATTTTCCTTTTTATTATTTTTCTTAAAAAACAAATATACATAAGAAATGATAAATATAAAAAAACAACCCAGAGCCAAAGAAAAAGTTCTTCAATGTTACAAACCACTTCGTACTGCAGAGAAAACAAACACTAGTGTTACACCTGACAGTTAAACTTTTGTTGCCTAAAGTCTTAACTTTTTCTTGTTGCTATGAAGCCGTCCCTCATGAAGACAAAGAGTCACATCCGAAGGAAACAAAGACGTCAGAGTTTTTAGTGCTGTGGATCTAACAGCAGATTATTCACACCGTATGAAGACGACGCGCTGCAATACGGAGCTGGGACACATGGACATGCAACTTTACTACAACACCGGCCCTTCATCTGCTCCGATCCGGGCCCGAGGAAGCAGGCAAACAGTCTCAGATTGCCTTATTTAAAACCTACAACCGAAGTGAGAAGGGTGGCATGTAGAGGACGAGTTAGAGACACTCCAATGTTAAAGAAAGATCACTGCCAAGGCTCAGAAAATCACATCTGAATAAAAATAAATAACCTGTAACTGGTTTGGTTGGTCTGTTAACAGGATTACTCAAAGAGCTGTGCACAGACTTAAAGGTTGGCTCAAGTTGCAAGTCTTTAAACTTTAAAGAGCTAGATTTGGGATTCTTTTTATCGTAATAAAAATCGATAAAAAATACAAATGGACATTTTAGGACATTATATCAAACTGACCACTGATGTTCTTAAGAAAATATCAGAGTAGTCTGGGTTGAGATGTTAATAATCGGGAGAGAATATGCAAACATGTTATTAAAATGTTGTTAAGTTTTAAGTGCTACCCCCAGCCTCCTAGCAGATGCACCTACGACAACATTTTCAGAAAACTTGACCTCTGACCTTCACATTGAAGTTCAGGTCACTAAAAGGTCAACCTTTTATGGCTGAGGGGTAAAAAGCAAGAAACAACTTCAAGGCTCTGACAAATGGACCTATAAACTTCACAGGAGAATAAATAAGACCATTTTAGCTGTGACTGCCGAGATCTCCAAATACCAAAGATATGATATCACACCTGAAGAGCGGCATGCAGAAACGGGGGCAGGTTAACCGTCCTCTTCAGGTTCTGTGAAATACTACTGACCACCTAAAACCTTGGTCACACAAACTCAAAGAACCAGCTCAAACAAGAGGAAGTCGTCCTGAATACATCTGCTCTTCTGCTTTTAGTTATTTCCTGTCATACTGAACAGGTTTCAAATAAAGAATTTCTCAAGTAATCCCTGTGAGCCAAAAGCTCAGGTTGCCACTCTAAAGGCTTAGATTCAAAGAGTTGTTTTCCTCTTTTGAAGCTGTAAGATGTAGGGCACAGTAGCCCCACCCACCTCCTGTTCAGACCACTTATTATAATTACTAAAGCCTGAAAAAACACTTTAGTTAACTGAAATACATAAAGCAAATCTTTGGGAAAAAATAATGGTGATGAACTGAAACAATGTTGTGAAGTAAAAAAAAAAAAAAAACATACATGAAATTTACTTTGTATTTGGATAGTTTTTGTGAGTTTGGTCAAATTTGTCGAGACTCAAAGCTAACCCATTCTAAACTTCTTAAAGTAGAAAGACGAGATGCAACCTGATAACCCTCCAGTAACGATGAAGTTTTTATACTTTATTTTAAAGAAGAGGTGAAATGTTTTCACATAGGCTGTAACCTAAATCTCACTGAGCTACAAGCAGCTCAAACATCACAAACACCAGGTCACGTTTGTGACAGATCTGGGGCTCAGTTCAGGTTTTGGAAACATTCTTTACCTTCTGAGACGAGACAGAATTTGACTTAAATCAGCCTTAAATTTGTGTTTTGTGTTTTTACCTGTGTGATTTCAAACTGATGCTTCTCTTTTTAAAAGCTGTTTTCTTTATGCAAATTTGACAGATTTGACCTTAAAGTTAGATGCACCCTGTGTTTAAATAAAAAAATACAATAAGATCCACTGGGGGAAAAAAAGCAGTCTGATTATGACAACGCTGCATAAGTCAGTCGATACAAAGATTCTGATTGGAGTGTCACTAACCCACAGCTCACCTGCTGACCCTATACCTTCAGCAGCAGCTTGACCTCTGCGTGCCGACTGGATGGATAATGGTAAATGAAACGTATAATTAATCAGCAGACAAGGAAGAGGAGCTGAAATGTTTCATTCCAAGAAGAAATAGAGTTAAATAAATAACAAATTTGCTTTGTTAGTTCATGATTTTCACATAAAGTCCTTAAACAGGCCGGTCACGCCAGAACACCCTCTAAAGTTTCTTAATTAAAACAATTCTGTAGAGATGTCTGGACAAAAATACCCCAAAGTGAAGTCTGTTTGTGTTTTAGGAGACACACCACTTAAATTGATTTGAGTCCTGTATATAAGTGTCTGTACAAATTCTAACTGAATACTTGAAATGATCAGACTTTTCTGATGTTGGAATGAAACTTCTCAGTTCCAGGTTAATCTGCAGTCAAGTTAATCTGCCCGGCGACAGCAGTCACATGGTCCAAACTAATCTAAGTGTATCTGAATAGCAGGAGTTAAATATTTCCTTTGATTGCTCTTAGTTTTTTCTTTTTGGGACGTTTAAACATGAATAAATGTGTGTGTGAGAGAGTGTAAGTGTGTGTGGTAATATCTGAGCTACGAACACTGTTCATCTAAAATACTTTACAGCTAATTCAAACGGACGTCAGTGATGAATGAACTCCATCTTTAGTGCAATTAGTTAACATGCTCAGAGCATCGAGTGCGGCGACCACGGCCTCGCTGCTTTTTCACACACATGCGCTTAATAATTGAAAGCTGAATGTCACACTGAGGTCCAGTTTTCTGCACACGGAGAGATTTTCCACAACAGCTTGTGAATCTGTCGGGTTGTTTTGTTTTTGTTTGGAGGAGACGCTCCTCAGTTTGGCCTCTCTGAGTGGTTTATCTGTCAAAGTGAAGGAGGTGTTTGGCAGAGACGAGGTGCATGATGGGAACAGTCGCAGCCTAAACACCGCCGGTCGGAGCCAATCAGCTGCGCCCATTAACATCTCAGGAACAAAAAGTGTTAAACTGCACACAGATGTTCATCGTCACAGACTCAGACCAGAAACATGTCAGCAGGTCGATGTTTGAACACAACAAACTTTAAACTGACTGAACCCAGAGAACGTCCAAACTCCAGACTTCATCCTTAGGGTGTCTCCATGGAAACACCTTCAGCTTCAGTTTACTGTAAACAGCTTGTAAAGGCAACATTTTTTGAATAATGTGAATGAAAGTTGCTGTTTCCACTGATGCAAATGGTAAAGTGCCCACAAGCTGCAGTTCTTCTAACATCCACCGGAGGCTCCAGCAGTGAGTCAGTCCCCATAAACCCCCATGTTAAAACTTTACAGCAGAAATAAACATGTTTACAGTTTATATAAAAACGTTTTTTGTCTCTATAGATAATTTACACCTTCATAACACGTCTACAGGTCAAGAATGTTTTTATAACTCACCTCTTTAAATTATATTAAGGCTTGAAGTTTGCATAATTAGGGGTGTGGTCTCTTTGACTGACAGCTGGATAGTGATACAGCTGACTGTAGCGGCTAGCTGTCTGCTAGGCTTCACCTCAAGTAACTGGAGTTAGAACTGGACCTCTGCACCGTGTTTGTTGAAGCATTTTTATGCAATTATCTGACCAATAATATGGCTGCTGTGAGGTTTCTGTACTAACTGACTGTCCAAATGTTCTGAGCTTCAGTTTTGGTGAGGGAAATTTTAGGATTTTATTTGCAGCACTAATTAGGTTCTAAACATTTATTAATTTCCCTCCATTTTGAACCTGGTTTCCAATGGGAGGTACTCATGTGCAGATCATCATAATGATTTAGGATTTGGGATGATATAGGAGTGTTCAGTCTACACAACATAACTGAACTGTAGGTCCCCAAAGTGCCCAGATAAGGCCAGACATGTTTGCTATCTGGGTTAAGTCTGTATTTCAGTCTGAAGGAAGGACGCTTGGATTCAGCCTCACACACAGCTTAACCTGCAGTGCAACAAGGCAACATGTTGGCCAACCAGGAGAGCAGTTTCCTCGGCAGCACCGTTGCTCTCAAATCAAAAGTTTCACTTTCTTCAGCACTTGACTCAAGACATTCTGATAACTCAAACTCACATTTTGGGCAACCTTTCTTTCTCAGGTTGCCCAATGAGTTGCCTTGTTGAACAATAAAAGGAGATTAAACCTCTGACAGTCGAGCCATTGGTCGGACTTCCTGCCTGAGGCGAAATTAATCATTGAACCTGGAACATGTTGAACAAAAGGAAGCAGGAAGACTTGTTGTCGTTGTTGATGTGGTCACATGATGCAGTTTTTTTTATTGCTGACTGAACTCAGCCGTCACATCTCCCACCGTCTTCTCAATGGAAACAACAATTTGATTTGTGGCCGTTTCAGAGACGGCGGTTTCGGCTCTGGACAGGAAGTGGGATCCGGGTGATTGTTTGTTGGAGCATCCGTCTCTGACGCCAGTAAACCATTTTGAGCCCCGACCACAAGGGGACTCGGCTGATTGTTACAGCCTACGAGGTGAGAGTCATGTGACTGATGGAGACAGTTTTCTATAGGCTATTTATAGGTCTGATATGCATCAAAGATTCTGTCCTGATATGTTTAGGCAATGCACAATACATATCTTGGTGTTTGAAATGACTGATTGATATTTTTTAAAAAGAGCGTGATTTCAAATGTATTGATTTATCAGTCAGGAAACCTTTTAAAATTATTTTCCACTGTTCACAGTCAATATGTTATCTGCAGTGGGTGGCAGAAGGCCACGCCCACAAGCAGATGCACAAACAAGAACCATGAGCTGCTATGTACACAAGATTTTCTCCACTTTACCCATATTAAACAGCTTTTCTTAAACAAGTAACTGAAGCTGTTACACTCCACCAGACCCCATTCATCAAAACAGTAATTTTACCTCAAAGAACACAGGAGTTACTCATCTACTGTTGCCACAATTGAATAGTTTGTAATATTGTGCTACTTTGGTGTTATAATGCATTAATTCGAACCTAAACTAATGCATTAAAAAGCAAAAGTCACACAAATAGGTCAATAACACTCATTTTCAGTGTTAAAAAAATCCCTGTTTTTGTCAAACAAGTCTGGTGGATTTAAAAAAGAGCCACTAACCCCGTCTTCTCCACAAGCTCTGTTGTCCTTCCTAGCTGCAGGAGAACTTCAGGCTTCAGCAAACTGAAGGTGCTGCATTAAGGAGTCACATGACTGGTCTCATGACCCACACCTTGCAGGTTGTAGCAGTAACTACGGTAGAAAAAACAAAAAACGCACACTCGTGGTGATCCATCCCACATAGAGTCTGACAGCCTCGGTATGACCTGGACAGATCTCGTCCACCAAATAAATGGAGTTTTATGGCTGCTGTTCCGCCTGTCCACAGGCCCCGTCCCTTTGATGACTTGGTTGACGAGCTGTTTTCCGCGATGCGCGGGTCGTCTCCAAAACAAACGTTAAGACAAAAAACGGAAAAGTGGCTGAAAACTGTTAGGAACTGAAGAGTGAGCGATGAGTTGGGGTGAGTTTTATAAAAAAGGACATCACTACGAAAAAAATGCATCAGCCAGTTTAAAATCTGCAGCGCTTCAATATAAAGTGCTTCATTACATTGTTACTTTTTTACAGTTTCTTATTAAAATATTGTTTTCCCTGGAGTGAAACCATAGTAAACATGTTACACGTTGGTAAAAATAAACATTTGGAATGTCTCTTTTTAACAAGTCCCATTGGCTGATTTTGGTCAAGCTGAACTCGTCCCCGGAGCCTGAAACAGCAAAACGGTCATATGGTTAACACAAGTCATTACACATTACAGGCAGTCACACAGGGTATGGACGAGAGAGCAGAGCGTAATGGGAGATGAAGGTGAGTCAGGTCCACATAGCTGGAGCAGGGTTTGCTTATTTCCTAGTTTTTCTCACTAAGTTACTCACTTAAAAGTTTTTAATATTATTATTATTATTATCATCATCATTATTAGGGGTGTAACAATTCTTCAGTTGGTCCCTTATTTCCATGAGAGTTCCAATCTCTGGGGATCCTGTTTCATGGGGACGCTCATGGGGATGCTTAGAATAAATGGGGCCCTATGGACTTAGAGCTAAAAGGGGTAAATGTTGTGGTAAAACCCCTTTCCTCGAGTACTACAGCACCATTTACTATATCTTACATTCTGATATCTGGCTTCATACAAGCAGTAGTTTCCAGATAGCATCACCTTTAACCACCACTTTGTCTACAAACACTTGTAAGATCTATGTAGCTATTGCCACCAAAGGACGACCTCCTGGCATAAATCCTAAACTGAGCAACCATTAGCAAAACAATGATAGTTTTTAGGCAAAATTGGCTTCGCTGTAAGACTAACTGAAGGACAAGGACCTTGGTGTTATATTTGTAAAAGATTAGCCTAGAAGCTGCCAAATAACCTCCAACTGATCGAGACAGTCCATCCTTCCCTGAGCCTGGTTCTGTTGGCAGTCTCTTCCTGTTAAAAGGGAGTTCTTCCTCTCCATCATCTCCAAGTGCTGTTCATAAAAGTTTTGTCTGATTGTTGGACCTCTTTCTTAAAGTTGTAGGCTTTTGACGTTACGGTATTACAATGAACTGGTGTTATAACAGTTAAAATAGCCATTTTAGCTGTTTGGCTCCAGAGTGGAAAAGCTATCCTTAAACTACTCTGCAAAACTTTTAGAAGCGATTCAGGGTAAAGTGTATCCACCACAGCTATTTTTCCAGTGCTGTTACTACTGTGACAAAATACTGGGGATTTTTCACAAACTGAAACACAATCTGCACAAACCTACAAGAGCTGGAGTGGTCCTTTGCATCTCTCTGTTGTTGCTGCGCTTCTAGATTTGGTTGTTTTTTGTTTCTCTGCAGTTTTTCTTTGGTTGATTGTTGGGGGTCGCTGAAGGACAAACATGCAGGATGTGACAACCACCTGGTTTCTGGTTTTTAATTCGTCTCACTCTACCAGGAGCAAAACAGTGAACCCTTTAGAATTCATTTCTGAGTCAGACCTAGCTGACTTCCTAAGCTGCTCGAACTATGAGGGACATGAGTTCAAGTGATGAAATATCATTCTTTGAAACCAAATAGGAAGCTAGGACCCAGAAGAAAGCATCTTTCAAAAAACCACCTTTAGTTAACCTCAATCAGCTCCTGAAAAATAGATTGTTTTTAAATCTATGGTCCATAAACTGAACTCTGTAAACATTTTTGATTCATATTTTAAAAATTAACTAACCTGTCTTACGTCTGTTCCAATTTTATTGGTTATTCGATCATTCTGATCAGCAGGGAAGAGCAGAGTTTGCATCTCAGTTTACATAATTTTTCTGCAATCATAAGGTAGTATATCTAAAAATGTGATGACAGGACCAGAATCACAGAAGCATAAAGAGAGCCTGAGACTGAACCATGAACCTGAAGCTGCAGCTTACCATCTGCTGAGTCCTTCTTCTTGTTTAAAGCACCACAGTGAGAAAATAAGGCTGAACAGAAGTTCACTCAAACAGCAACAAAACATCAACACATTTATAAAAAAAAAAATTCAAATATAAAAATTACAAAAGTAAAAAATAAATAGATTACAAACAAAAAGTCAGTAGGAGTTTAGTCTCTGAGGAAGCAGCCAGCATGATGATGATGGTGATGATGGCGGCGATGTAAATGGGTTTGGCTTGCATGCGTCAGTGGGCCATCCAGTCAGCATGCTTGAGTCACCACATGCATCAGTTAGCATGTATAGGTTAGCACACAGTGTTTACGGCGGCTGATTTAACATGTGAATGGGCAGAGGGGGCGGGGTTTGGTGTGTTCAGCAGGCTGACGAACAGGAAGAGAGTGGAGGTGGGCAGGTAGACACACAGGAAGAGGACGACGTCCTCGCTGAGACAGAGGACAAAGTCACTCTGCTCCATCAGCATCCAGTCCACCAGCACTCCCACCAACAGGTAGTACACCTGGAATTCCTGATGCTCCTCCCACTCCCCGTCACAACCCCAGTCTGGACCCACCGATGCCGCCTCCAACGAGTTCTTCTGCCTGACCACGCCCCCTCTGGTGTCATTGTCACTCACCATGGGCTTGATCTCCGCCCCTTCTGATGCCACTTCCTTCACCCGACTCCGCCCACGTTCCACAGCACGCTCCAACCGCCGGCTGCTCTCCACAAACTCCTGCAGGAACACAGAAAGGTGGACAAAGACCAAACACATTAAAACACTGCACCCCATTGATATTCAAGAAAGTCCTTTTATTAGCAATCATGATCAGAACTTTATTTTGAACATAATTATGTTTAACAATAAAGGAACTACACATCCCATGATGAATTGCAAACTGGAGATTCTACGACAAACAACTTCCCCTTCTTGAACTGACACCTGCAGGTCAATGTTCCCTCTAATTTTTCGTGTGTCTGAGCGAACACACAAACTCCCTGAGCGGTCCCTTGGACCACTGGGAGCAACATTAGATGTGTGCACTGTGGTCATGCCAGCATCAAATCCATCCAAGTTACATGGTTTATTCAAATAATCAAATTACAGCATTTACATTTATGTTAGGCTACTTTTAATTAACTGCTTTAGCCCACTTACAATGAAAATTTTTAAAAATTCTTGTTCATGACCTGTGTAGTATGTTAACACTATTGAAAGTAGTCTAAGGAGCTTGGAAAGAAAAGCGTCTGGACTTCTTTGAGTTGCTTCAAGACGTTTCACCTCTCATCCGAGAAGCTTCTTCAGTTCTAAGGTCAAATGGTGGAGAGTCCCAGATATAAACCTAGTGGGAGTAACCCCCCACAGAGGGACAAAAGGACCCCCTGATGACCCTAATCACATGAGCCAAGGTGTGAAAGTGGGTGTGGGTCACAATCAGCCAGGGTTTCGGGT